TAACAATCTTACTTCCCCAAAACCACATGCAAAATGCAAGGCTCTCCTTCCTTATGAATCTTCCTCCTCCTTGTATGCCCCATATTTTAGGCGATCTTTGATATGTATCATTGAGAAAGAAGTTGGTTGATGGCTAACTAGGAAAGGAAAAATGGATTTTCAATGCTACCCTTAAATATTCGGGTAGCCTAGCAAAGGAAAAAGGGGCAATAGGAATCGAACTCATGACATCATATTCACAGGGCTTTTCAATGCTACCCTTAAATATTCGGGTAGCCTAATAAAGGAAAAAGGGGCAATAGGAATCGAACTTGTGACATCATACCCACAAGGCAACATCATTACCACTATGCTAGAAGTTTTTTTTTTGTGTTTTATTTGCTCAAACGTTTATTATAAAGTAAAGTAAATTACTGAAATCGTCCCTATGGTTTGGTCAAAATTGCACGTTTAGTCCCTAACTTTTTTGTTTGCACTCGGATCGTCTCTGTGGTTTATTTTGTTGCGTTTTTTGTCATTTACATACATAAAGTTAGGAACCAAACGTGCAATTTTGACTAAACAATAGGGACAAAAAACGCAACAAAATCAAATCATAGGGACCATCCGAGTGCAAAAAAAATATTGGGGACCAAACATGCAATTTTGATCAAACCATAGGGATGATTTCAGTAATTCCCTCTATAATGTATAATGCTGATTAATATTAATATTAATATTAATAATAACTTGAAACTATCCGTTTGATAGTTACTGACTGAAAAAATATTGACTGAGAAATGTTTGTATAATTAAGAAATTTTAACTGAAATCATGCTGTTTGATTACACATCTTGTACTCACTAATACAAAATGATCATTTTACCTTAGTGCTCTATACGTTTATAATAATAATAATAATAATAATAATAATAATAATAATAATGTTGTTGTTATTATTATTATTATAAATGTAGAGAGAACTAGGGTAAAATGATCATTTTGTATTAATCAGCACAAGAGGTTTAATCAAACAGCATGATTTTAGTTAGAATTTCTTAATTATACAGACATTTCTTAGTCAACATTTTTTCAGTTAGCAACTATCAAACGGATAGTTTCAAGTTTTGATATTGGTATAGAATACAAAAATGCACCAAGTACTTTCATCATTTTGTTAACTTAGCCCCTTAACTATTTTCTTTAATCATTAAACCATCATTTTTACACCAATTATGATTATTATTATTATTATTTTCTAATTTCTTGTTTTTTCATAGTTTATGTCATACATTCTTACTCACACAAGGATATACGAAAAAAGTAAAATAAACTCATTTGTGCTAATACGATGTCACTGATGTTGATATTGATGTGTCATGTCAAGCCTGTGGCGAACTTATATGGTGTCCGGGAGGTCCCGGGTCGGGCCACCACTCCGATTTTGACCGTTAGTGTAAAAAAAATGTTTTTTATTAGGTGCAACGTCTTGAAATATAAGTGTCACTACTATTCTAGATTTGATCGAAATTTTTTTTTTTTTTTTGTGTCACCACTACTCAAAATCTATGCATCCGCCACTGCGCCAAGCCCTTGAACGCATTGCACGATCATTTAATGACATCAACTTTCGATCTCTTACGTGTCATGTTTGACGTTTGCGCGCATCACGCTCCTTGTCTATATTTTAACTATAACAACATACTCTCACTCATCACGTATTCAAAGTACATTACCCTCAACACTTAGATTATTTTCGACAACTTACTAACACCATTCACGTTGGTAATGTGTCACATAGCACCTCAATTGTCCTATCAACAAGTTATATCTCTCGTAATAATATCTGATATGGAAACATGTGTCACACAAACACATAGAACTTTATAATGAAAACCTAAAATCTCAGAAGTAGAATGGGGAGAAGAAGATGGAGACGATGAAGATAAAGAAATAGCGTTCTCAAAACATGCAAATGTAACACCTATACTTTTTGTATAATAAAATACAATGGTTCTGAAAACATTATTTTATAAACTTTGAGTAAGGTTTACAACACGGTCCAACAAAAACCTAAAACAATTTACTTGTTATTTTAAAAATAATTTATAAGGTGTACAACTTTCAACCATACTAAATCAGTGAATTTACTTCAAAAGCCCACTGCCAACAATGCAATCACAAATCTTTTAGCACTCCATATCTAAGTCTAGAATACATGGCATTTAAAAGAATATACGTAAGACGGTAATGTCTCATGAGCTACATGGGTTAGACACAAAACCATTATCAATCATTTGAACAAAATTTTCATTTCCACATGTTTTATACGATTTAACATATGTTCACAAAGTGCATATTCATAAAGATAACTAACTCTTACGAGCCTTCTCGTATCATATATTCAGGTTTGCATAGCTATTTGGTTATAAACTTATCTAATCATTATTAAACATTTGATAAAACTCTTTCATTTCAGCTTACTTTATACAATGTAGTTTACATGTATATAATGCATGATTAAAATCAAAATAATCTTACGGGCCTTCCTGTATCACACTCACGTATTGACATACGATCCTTCGATTACATACCGATCTAAACCTTAGGGTAAATCAAAGAAATAACACCCTATCAATCCTTACCAAAATAGGAAGAACAAATCAGTCCATTGAAGTATCTCTCAACTTCTGCCTCGCAAAGGGATGTACAGCCGTTATCCTGTTATTGGGATATCGAAATTGTTCGAACACTATTTAATTATGCATTCGCATCCAATGTATCCAAATTCACTACTTTCCTCTTTGTGACTCAATTAGATGTAATTATCTTGTTCTATTTAGCAATCAATAAATACTAACTTGCATAATGTAAGCAATTTATCAATCAAGTATTTACATATCAAAATCTATAACATAAACTTATATCACTCTTTTATCTTTCAAAATCATGTATACTCAATAATACTCTTAATAAGAGTTTCCTTATTCAAAAATTTCATATTATTCAAATCCTTAAACTACTATTTTGAAAAGAGCTTACCGCTCCATCACTACTTTTTCGTTTCAAAAATGTTTCAAGTAATACATACTCTTTCAAAGAGTTCATTTGATCAAACCATTAAGCTAAAAATTACTCTAGAAGCATTTAATACTTAAAACTCAAGTTATGCTTTTATCTTTTAAAAAATCATTTGAGGATATGAAATATTCATTCTAAATCATCCAGAGTTAAAACTCACAATGTAACCTTGTATCCTATTGGGAAAAAGCCACATGTACTCACCTTGTTGGTTAGTGAAAACTATCACCCTTCTATTTCACTTGGTGCTTCTTCGTCAAATTTGCATTAAACAGACCCCCTTGCCAAAAACCTATTCAAATAACACATTAAAGTCTTAATATGACTCGTTCCATAAAGAGCATAATCCAATTCCATATCCAAAATGATCATGCACTTGATCACATAAATTTCATGTTACAACTTTTTGTCTAAAAATCAATTAAGTTCCACATATATATTCTCTACATGTCTTAATTCATTCGGACATTAACTTGATTTCACATATTTCATCAAATTTAGTTATAGTTGTTCATATGCTTAAATATGTGTAAGTTCAATATTTCATTAAAATCAATTGTACCCCACGAATAACTTGTTTATATGTCTTAATTTCTTAAGACATAAGCTCAATTTTTATTATATTACATATCACCTATTTAGGGTTTGAGCTCATCCATTTCCAATTCATTAAATTAACCACAGACTAGTGATAATAAGCTTAAAATCATGATCACAACACTTGAAACAACATCATACTAGCAATTCAAACGATTTGCAGCAATTACAAACAATTCCTCTAAGGTTCACCAGCTCAAGCTTGTTAGAGAAGATGCTTTGACCTTTTGATCCATTAAATAGAGGTTTGATTCTTGTTTTCCTTGAAATCACTTGATTAAATCTTCAATTCTTGGTGGAAAGAGTTCCAAAATTTGCTCTAAGAGGTTGTCCTATGAAATGGGAAAGATTGTGATAGTTTGGCTACAAATGAACAGTTATCCTCTTTTTTTTTTAAACATCATCCTGATTATACGATCACGTACATCATCGTGTAACTCTACATAGGCCCCAAACTGGTAATCTACTTCTTAAAATCTTCTTTTAGCATTTTGACATACTTACACAATCATGTAATCATTCCTTCCTTTTTAGGTACTCCGGGATGATTACATGACCATGTAAGGCCTTCACACGATCGTGTAATGCCCTCTGGTACTCACTTAGACAATGTAATTTATATTATATACTTCTACACCTCATAACTTCCTCATACGAACTTAGATTTTGATGAATTTAATATCCATCGAACGTATCAAAGTGAACTACAACTTTCTTATATAATTTCTATTGAAAAGTTATACATTTTTAGGTATACATGTTTCACATTAAAATACTTTATTATTACAATTTTTGGTACTACCTCTTTACATATTTATAGAAAATACAAGTTATAACACTAAGTTATTTTTTACGTCGCTAGTCTCTACCACAAGGACTTTATCGCTAGAGTCTCTAACACAAGGACTTTATGTGATATAATAGGGTGATTATAGTTTGACACAAGGACTTGTGATATAATAGGCCATAATTGTAACTTAAAATGGCATCAATAATTTTGTAGGATAGGCAAGGAGAAATTGACATCAATTGTTCAAGAAAAAACAACCATAAGGGCTAGTTGTGCAAAAAAAAACACCTAGAACTAGTCCAATCTGACAAACCACATGGATCGATGTAATTTATATAAAATACGTGTTATGTGTACAGATTGTAAGGGTTACAACTCACAACATAAAATAATAAGGTTTTATGATAAATCAGGACGTCCGACGCACAGTTTTATAATCCACATGTCGTGCCTAAATTTTGCTTAGACATAACACAATTACAACTTTTAACCAATTAAGTTAAAATTAATATTTTGTATGAATAAAATGGTTTTTATACAGAAACATGGATTAATTTTTAAATAAAAAACCAAAATAATTACTCGGAAGTTTGAAACCATGCTCTTGTAAGCCATCTAGGCTACAACGACTTGAAATGTGCCTTCCTATAAACTAATCTCTATCTAACCCTAATTTAATATCTGAAATCCACTACGGAAACCAAATGAGGCAGAATAAAAACATGAAACTTGACTGTTTTGTTATAATCATTCACTCTTTACAAAGGACAGACGATTGATTAAAGAGGTCAAACATGTGATTTGACTAAAAAAATTAGCACAAGACATGTAGCATAACAAGCTGGAATGAAAACCAAATCATTTCCATTACACTCACTAACCAACAACACCCTCAAAAGCTTACACTTAAAGAAACCCATCCTTTTCCAACAACTTCAATACATCGTTCTGGTTGTTCAGTTTTGCAACATCGATTGGCATCTTCCCGTCCATGTTTTGTAGCGTACTGCATAAAAACCCCACACAAATTAATTCAAAATACTATCACCTGTCAACTGTTAACTGTCATCTGTCAAATGTCAACTGTTAACTGAGTGGTTAATGAAATTACACGGCAGCACTGTTATCAAGCAAAAGAGCAACATAGTCTTTCCTTCCATAACCAGCAGCATACTGAAGGGCGGTGTTTTTATTCTTGTCTAAAGCATCAACTTTGGCTCCAACTTCAAGGAGAACTTGAGCACATTTCACCTGTAAGAAAAATATTTAAAAAAAAAATAGCCACCAAGATTAAAATTAAAATTAAAATTAATGTTTACACCTCTCCATATCCACATGCAAAATGCAATGTTGTCCTTCCTTCTGAATCTTCCTCATCCTTATATGCACCAGACTCTAAGGCCTTCTTCAAACCATATTTTAGAGAAAATTTAAATTAACAACACCATTTATCCCTTTAATTCTTTACTACAGTGATTAATTAAACCGTTATAAATTTCTTACTAATATTTTACTTTGCCCCTCATCAATTTTTTCTTTTTAAACAGGAAAAATGGGTTTTTGTAGTACCACCACATCACCAGTGCTAGCAGTCTGATGAACAAGACTCATCTTCATTTACTTATTCTTCTTCTTCTTCTTCTTCTTCACCTGCTCCTGAATTTCCACCAAAAGCTGTAGTAGGATCCCATGTGACTGGAAGGCCCATTGCTTCACCAAGTTTTACCAAAACATCTTTGTCATTCCAGTACCTAAAATCATACAAAAAGTTACATTTCTGCAACATTCTTTCATTTATTTACTTATTATGCAAAAGCAAGATTACTGACTTCATCATTGCAGTGGGCCCACCGGTTTCTATATCATCTAAAATATGTTTCAGTGAAGGATCTTCTTTGATACGTGCCATCCGTTCTTCAAGCTGATCCTTTTGAGCTGGATTAGATAAACTGTCAAGCATCTGAGACATTGATGGATCCTGCCAATTCCAAATACCACACAATATCATAAATCCTTTTGTAATTTTGTACCATATTATTTATTATATAAGAAACTAAACAAAATATCTGCATCAATGCAGATCCAAGGCGTTCAGCCATGTTCATGAATTGAGGGTTTTGCATAACTTGTTGCATGGTGGAATAGTATTGTTGTGTATCAAATTATAGGAGACCTCCTGCTTCACCTCCCTGAAAGGTCTTCTGGAGTTGCTCTGCCATTTGGTTGAATGATGGATCTTTTGCTATTTGTTCAACTAATTCCTTTACACTTGGATCCTGCATATATCAAGAAACACAAAAGAATATGCTAGTGGACAGCTATTGATGTAACTAGGTATTGTTTCTTTTTGACTTAATGGACTTAAAGGGAGTACATTAAGTAGACCAACCATAGATGAGAAGTCAAAAGGGTTTGCAGGAATTCCAGCTCCTGGCATAGATGGTATTGCAGGTGTTGTTCCAGATTTGGTATTTGAGGAGCTTGATTCAGAGGGAGTTTTCTTCACAGCTGGATCAGTCTTTTCTTCTGAATACATTAAAGATATATATGTAAGGATTTAAAGACTTCTTTCTCTTTTCATTATAGGTACTTGAGGTATAAACATTTCAAATCAAGATCAAAGTCAATAGATGAAGACCATCAATGGTTTATTGTGTTACTTCAAAATCATTACAAAAAAACGTTCTTTACTGTTAAGGCTTGAGGTTGATGGACCAAATTATGTGTCACAAAATACAATCAAATAATATTATCTGATCAATATCTATTTTCAAAGAAAAACCTTAGTTCCATCTTCGCGTTTAATTAAGTTGCTTACAATGAATAATCAGTCTCTATTTTTATTAAGTTGCTTACAATGAACAGTGTAATTCTGTAATTCAACTACAAAAGAGCTGATCAACTTAATAAGAAGCTTAAATTGAACCACCTTTAATCTTCTATCAATCATCATCTTATAGCAATCTAACAATTTGAAGTTGATCTAGTAATATCCACGTAAAATCAAAGCGCTATAGTAAAACTAAAAACACACCGGTGTTGGTCTTAGGCTTGACATCAGAAACCTTTTCGTTCACCTGCAAAAGAAAAAAAAAACAATATAAAATCATCAACAAACTTTTGCACAAATACAAGTCGATTCAAGTTAAAAGGCTCCATAAAACCGAAACAACCAAAATAATACAGAAAAGAGAGAACGAATCCATTCAAAATTTTACAAAGTTTACAGCTACAGTGAATCAAACTGTGACGTCACTGAACAAAAGTACAATTAACCAGATTCAAAAGAAAAACTAAACAAATTGAGCTCAAAACTGAATCACTTTACCTCCGACATGACGAGATTGCGAGGATAATCCTCTGTTATCGGGTGGGGAAACAAACTCAGATGATGAAGTGGAGTCGACAAAAAAGGCAGAGAGGAACACGAAACTGTGGGCCACTACAATCCTCGAGTATTTGACAAAATGAACGGCCTACGTACGGCTATGCCTGTTTGCTTCAGGATTTCGTCGGCCCAATCTCTTTTGGGCCCATCCTATTTTTTCTCATAGACCAATAAACAGGCCCAATAAGGCAAAAGCCAATAGCTAATTCACCAATTTTGGTTCACATTAGACAAGTTGGGTTGGAATAGGCATGCACAAACCGCTTTTTTTTATCAACTGGACTGGTTCGGAAAACCGGTTCTGGTCAACGTAGTCAAAACCGGTTCACCCGGAAACCGGTTCGGTTCCAAACTGGTCCAGTCCCCAAAAAATCCGAACATATGTAAACCGGTTCGGTTTTATCAAAACCGGTTCAACAACGGGTTCAAAAACCGGTTCAAAAACGATTCGGTGCATATAAGGGTTTTTTTTTGGGCTAATAAGTGTAAAATAGGAATGGTTTTCTTTTGTTTAGATAATATTGCTTTTGATCGGGAATTGGGAAGGCATAAAGCCTTATGGTAACACACACATATTACACATACACGTCCATATATATGCCAAAAGGTTTTTTTCTTTTTTTTTTTCTTGTTTAATAATATACATATCCTTTGATATATAACTTTTTTTTTTGTTTTAAATTTGATTTTGGGTATATGTACAAAAACATAATTTGTGTACAAAATTGCTCAACTTGAATCAACACATTTTTTGGAGCAATTTTCAACCTTTTTTCATTTTTTTATATAGGAAATACATAATACAACTTCAAGGATAAAAACACAAAACATCCAAATTGTCAAACTAATACATCTTCAAATATAAAGCATTGTTGTCTTCGTACTCTTCATTCCAAGTCCGCAGTCATTGTATTTATTCGTCATCTGTCATATCGTTGCGTAATTCTCTTTCATACTCGATCTCTTCTAGGGTGAGTGGCACCGACATTCCCATCGCTACTTCTTCCTCATGTACTCATGCTTCGACATGCAATGATGTGTCTTCTAGTACTTCAACGTCTTGTATCCGTTCCACGCTATCAAGGTAGCATTTCAAGCAAATGCACACTTCCACCGACAAAGGGGTTAGTTTTGTTCTTCTTGATGATATTACACTGCCGCTAACAGAAAAATCTGATTCCGAAGCTACTGTAGAAGCTTGGGAGCTTATTAGATCACGAGTCATAGCGGCTAGAATTGAAAATTGCGTTTCCTTTCCTTTCCACCAAGCCAAAATATCAAAAATTTCAAACTCTTGAATACTCATTTGAGATAAGAAATCGGAACCAATGTACCTTCCAAGCTTGCTACTAGGGGTGTTAGACCGAGCTCGTTTGGAATTTTCATTCCTCAAAGTATTATAAAGCCTAACTGTTTCGTTATTTTGGTGAGAATTGGATCTGGATGCCCCCTTATTTTGCATCATGTCATGAATGTTTGTTGAACCATATGTTGTTAAATAAACTTCAAACAAATTTTGAAAAACTTTGTTAAATTTTGAAACTTCCTTTGATGCATAATCCATGTCATCATCCAATAAACTTAAATTGTAACAAATATTTTCAATTAAAGTCTCAACCCCCCAACATTTAGAGTCGGATTCAAAGCGGCGGAACAAGTAATAATGGGAGACATTTCTTAAAAATATTTTTTTCTAACTTTGCTTTCATCGGTTTCATCATATTAGCAAACATTGTGCTCCTCATTTCAAACACATTTATTTTCGCACACATTAAAAAATTTTGGTTTAAAACTAAACAACTTGTAGGATAATAAACCCCCGATAAAAAAGTAGTTGTTTTTTTAAAAATATCAAGCATGTCTGTGACAAGTTTGATAGTATCCCAACTTGATTCCGGATAAGCCGTAACCTTATTACGGCCCGCAAGGTTGTCATGTAATATTTTTAAAGTATCTTTTTAACGTAAGACACATTCAAACATTTTGCAAGTGGAGTTTCATCGGTTATTATTTTCCCAATTCGGACCTAAAAAGAGGGCATTCTCATCGACAGAAAATTGCATATAATTATGATATCGAGCGTTCCTAGAAATAAAAATATCTTTTAGCATGTCTTTGAAACCATCCTTTATAGTTTCAATTCTAGTTAGTCCATCTTGCACAACCAAATTAATGATATGTGCAACACATCGACTATGAAAAAAAACACAAACGCAAATTGGTTTATATTTTAGTTTAAGTTGTCCAACCGTGACGGTGTTGTTTGAAGCATTATCAAAAGATATAGAAAAAATCTTTCCTTCAAGTATATAATTTTTTATCACACAATCTAAAATTTTAAATAAATTTCTACCGGTGTACGAGTACCCAAACAATTCGAACGTAATCATCGCTTCATCATTACCTAATTAGTTGGATTAATCCAATGAGCGGTAACACAAAGGCACGCATCCGGTGAACCGTGAGGAGTCGTCCAAACATCACAAGTTAAATTCACACCGGTTTCTAAAGATTGAAATCCTAAAATCAATTCATTTTTTGCAAGTTTCCACATTTCAATACAATCACGTCTAATAGAAGTACAACTCACATGGTAATATCGTGGTTGGAGAGTATCTTGGATGAGTGAAGTCAATCTTTTGTTGTCGAAGTGGTCAAAAGGCAAGCATTCTTGAATCACGAACTTCGCTATCTTATCCCGAACTTTAGCCAAATCATAACTCCACAGTGTTGCATCATTTTCCATTGTTGTTTGATTATGTCCCGACCCAAATTTCACTGCGGGCCATTTTTTGGTCATATGAGTTTTCAATGTCGAGTTCTCATATTCATTAAAAACAAACACCACATTTCTTGCATCGCGCTCTTTTTGTACCGTTCGACATTACACACAAATCATAGTTGCACCAAATAGCCGGATTTCTATTTGTTTCTTTGATGCTAACAACTGTAAGATTGTTTGATGAATCTCCAACACCAACGGAAGTCGAACCCATTGTTTGAATTAAGAGCGCTTTTTGAACTAAGAGAGGTTTTTTGAGGTTTGGTTAAGGTAAAATTGAGACTTAAACATCTAATATATATATATATATATATATATATATATATATATATACACACACTATAAGGAATGGTTAATATGGTCAAAAGGGAGCCAAAATCGGGTCTTTAACAGCCTAAAATGGCTATATAGCCGTTCGGAATAGACAAAAAAACGATAATACTCGAAAACTGGTTCTCCAACGGTAATAAGCGCAAACCGGTTCAGAAAAAACCGGTTCCAAACCGGTCTCAAGGGTACAAAGTGCGAGTTGGTCCAATCTGGTGGTTCGGTTCAGCATTGATTCGGTTCTTATGTGAACCGGTTCAGGGCTAAACCGGTTTTCGGTTCAGCGACCAGTTTGGTTCCTGAACCGTTTTTTTAGCAGACGCCTAGGTTGGATAATCACGAACTCTAAATAATGTTTTTTCTAACCTAGAACATCACTGTGAATACAATTCCGGCTTCGTAAGGAATTGTTATAATACGTCCAACGCTCTCTATCAAGTTAAGCTAATTAAGGGTTGGTGCATCATATATTTTTGGAAAAATAGTGAATGTTTTTTGTTTGTTCCTGTGAACGGTTCAACCATGTATAAAAAAATATTAACGATAAATAGTTATGAGGTAACCTATTTGGATATATTTAAGAGTTTGGAGATTCTACCTATAGAGTATTTGTATGATGTTTGAAACGAATGATATGAAGGCAATAAAACGACAAGACATCCTTGACAAAAAGTTGGTTGGAAAAATAACCAAACTCCAAAGAATTCTTGGATTCAAAATTCAATCCTTGTTATTATATTGTAATTGTTTTGGTTTTTCCATGTAGCTATTTGTTTTGTC